ATCGAGACATGCCGCATTTCACGCAAGAAGGTTCGACATGGCAACGACGATGGCCCCCAAGGTGACCTCCAACGGTTGATATATAGCGGCCATAAACGACGCCACTGCTTGAATTTTCAAGCTATTACAGCCCCAGATGGACTGTGCATTCATTTTTGGGGGCCCATCGAAGGTTCCCGCCTCGACACGACGCTGTTGTGGGAGAGCAGGCTGCTGGGTTATCTCGATTGTTTTTCCGAGCAACATGGCCCGTATTTAATCTATGGGGACCCTGCGTGTGGCGTGCTCCGTTGGATTTGCAGCGGGTATAAAGGCGCTGCTACGACCAAGTTGAAGCATGATTTCAACAAATCTATAAGCCAGGTGCGGCAATCTGTTGGATGGAGCATTGCGCAGATGAAAACGCAATTGGCATTTACGTACAAAATGCAGCAAAAGATAATGCTGCAAAATGTGGGAAAGTCAATTTGCCTGGCGATGCTATTTACCAACTGCCAAATATGTTGCAAAGGTGAAAATCAAATTAGTAGTTACTTCCAGTTGAAGCCGCCAACACTTCAAGAATACTTGACGAGAAGTTAACCAATCATGGAACTTTTGATTGATACTCATATTTGTTTGACGAGAAGCTAATAAATCACGAATCATACGATTGATACTCATGTTTGCTTCTGCAAGTGCTGAATGAAATGGTTAATGATCTGCATCATTTCTTCGTTGCGACGGTTTTCGATTTCGCTAATTTTTTGCCTCTCAAGGCGCTCTTTCTCGCGTTCTGCTCGGTCCTTCTCGCGCTCCTCTAGCTCAAGTTCGAATTTAAGTCGTTTAAACTGCAGCTTCTCTCGTTCGAGGGCAACCTCCATCTCTTGAGCATCCATTATCATCTTGCGCTTGCTAGACACAACAGGTTCAGCCACATCAGATGAATCAGACGTGGAATGACGGCGGCCACGCTGCATTGCCTGCTCTCGAATGTACTTGACTTGTTCAATCTTCTCTGCGGCCTCCATGGTTGTCGTTGCGGTGCTGCGCTTCTTCGCCGCGTCCTTGAACAGCGTCGCCAAGTCGTCAAGAAGACGAGACTTCTCTGTCTCGGACTCCGACACACCCGAGAGACGTTCGGCCTTGTCGTTGCGTGCCTTGTGCTGCCGCATGAGCAAAAGGAATCGGTTTTGCGCCTTCTTCCCATCAATCCCTGGCCTCGTGAAGTCCTCTATGTCGCGCAAGGCAACGGCCAACGCTTCCCACGCCTTTGTCGCCTGCCGCTTGGTGAAAGGACGATCGTTGTTGACTTGCGTCAACAGGATGATGTCGTCTTCTTCGGTCCACCATTTCTTTTCAGGGGTGTCGTGGACGTCGTCGGTCGATTCCGACATGATTGGAGTGCCGCAAGAGTGGTGTGTGCAAGAATGACAAGGAAATATCCGGACACGGGAGCTCTACGGATTGCCGCCAAATCAGCCATTTTGTCGGCATCCCGCATCGAGTTTAAAAGTTGCCGTCAATGAAATAAATATTTGGAGGTTTGAGATACGGGAAGTGTACGGAGTTGAGCTCCGAAATCTGTCTATTGTATGCGCCGCGGTTGGTGAATAGTTTGACTTGTAAGTTGAAAAAAGAGCCGTCACGATCACAAACCTTTCGAAGTTGCATACACTTCAAATATTCGCTTCATTTCAGTAAATCTCGACACAACTGGTACTGCGAATTCCGAGAGTATCTGAAATACTGCTTTCCCTCGCTAAGTCGAACGGCACAAAGTGAATAATCTCTGAAAGCCAATATATAAAGTTGGAAAGGAAAATTGAATTTTGAAACTGGGCTGATTACGTTGGAGCAAAGTGCTCGAATAATTTTTGAATTTTCAGCGATGGAGCACATGACACTTCATGAAAGACATGAGCTGTATGAACATCACATGCAGCATCCAACAAAAATGTATTCTGAGCTCGCTTTGTGGACTAAGGAATCATTTAATGTCGCTCGGGTCCCAACTAAATCTTACATTGGGCTTGCGTTGAAGAAGAACACCAACGAAGGCAAGCGTGCTGACAGCAAAATAAGAAGCGTAGATCGCGCTGTCCCGCTGGCTGAGGTCGAGGAGCGCGTTCTTCAATGGGTGCTGCGTTGTGAAGAACTTGGCGTGTGTACTGTATCACTGGCAAACTCATTCGAAAGCAAATGGCCAACGAGTTCGACCAACTACAATTGTCTGAGCAACGATTGTTTTCGAAGTCTGTGCAACTATTTATTCCTCTATATTTGGATGTATTGCGATTATTGCATAGAATGAACGGTTTGACTTAGCGAAGGAAATCAGTATGTCGAACATCAATTGCACCACCTTTTCACGAGCAAGTTGGTGATTTTTTCCAACCAAAATGGATTGGATTAAAAATATAAAATATTACAAGTCAGGGATGGATGATTGATTCCATTCAAAGTGGTATTTATTCCAATCAATGTGGTTCATATTGGTGGGAAACTTGCGTGCGCAGAGATCCATGCTTGCCTCTCATGAATTAACAGGGAATACGACATTGTGCAATTTGTTCCCGAAGTGGATGAGAAGCGCCACCTTCTCCACGCGTTCCAAGAGGGGGACGACTTGCTGTTAGTGGCGAAACACAATGGAATTCCTGTGACAACTGCCCGTCGCATCGTTTCGTGTGGACGTGTCGAAAACAAACCTCGTATTTCAAGACGAAGGCTCTTCGTCTTGAAGATATGTGCTACGGAAAGTGAAGTGAACCAGTTTGGATGGAAAAGAACCACATTGAATTGGAAAATTGTCGTTTTTATATACCTACTTTATAAATTTAAAACATTTGGCTTTTTATATTGCCACTTTGGTTTGAAAATCCACCAACTTGTTCGTGAAAAGGTGTACAGTGATCCCCCGATTTTTGCTACCAGGTAAAAACTAATAACTTATCTAAATCTATCCAGTATTGATTTCACTGTCAACAGGAACAGAGAGAATCGATATAATTTGAAACTCAAACCATGCAGCCAATCCGGCGCCAATATAATCGACCACGCCATCTCATTCGTTGACAGCTTGGACGGCGCGACTGAGCCATCTGTGACGAAGCGGAAGAGCTTGTACTGTACAGTGTTGACGTTTTGAAGGCAATGGAATGGTCGACGGAAGCCTGGAACGACGTGACTCCGTCAACTATTCAGAATTGTTGGAAGCACACAGGAATTGTGCCTCCAGAGTCTCTGATGTCTGCATTTGGCAAGATGCGCATCGGACATCCCACGTCGTTCGATGTACTTTTGACAAGATAAATTTTGAAATACACTATTTGTTGTATCTGCTTTAATGTTAGTACTTTTCTTGTGTAATTTGAACCGGGTATTACAAAATGTGTTGGATAAATGCTTAAAATATAAGGAAAGGTTACAGAACGTGGTCAAATAACCTTTAACAACCTTATTCAGTCGGGTATTTGGCTAAGGAAAGGACAGAAAAACCTCCTAATACACGTAGCCCTTGATGTTGATACCTCTATTAAATTATATTCAGGGTGTTGAAAAATCGGGGGATCACTGAAGTATGGATGGATTAACAGTAAGTCCACATGATAATTGAAACAGTCAATAATATCCCGTCCACATATTGACAACAAGAATCGAATCACACGAATCTCATTGGCGAATTAATCAATTTCCACGATCTGATTGGTCAGAATATCTTTTTACACGAGCACCAGCTTAAGAACTGTCGTCGTCGAAAGCTCACAAACGCGTAATACCAACGCCACTTCAGCGTGAAACACAAGTTCATCGCGAACCCCTCCACAACACCTTTGGGAGAGTCGTTCACAACAATCCACACCAATGTACCAGTGAACCTCAACGACTACCCTCTGGAACTTCTGCAGATTTCAGCCAATCAAGCGA